TTGGATATAAATAGAAGGTAATTAAAACGAATTTTTTTAATCATTTAATTCTTGCCAGATAGTATTGCCTTCCAAATGCTCGGAGCCTGAGGTCTGATCTTTCACTGTAAAAGGAGCAATTCGTTCGAGAAATGTAAAGGGTCTATGTTTCTGAACGGACTCTCTTCTTGACATAATCTGAAGAATTGAAGTGAAATGTCAGAAACGTAGCTCAGTGTTACTAACGCAGCTTGTGTTCCACGTGTGTTCTTCGGTCCTGCCTATCCTTTGGAAAGTACTGTTTCATCCTTTTCTAAGGCTTCAGGGGCCAGTTATAATGTATAATGTTCAGAAGGGATTGATTGAATCCTCGCCAATTTTACTTTAAGGCAATACTTTCTAAGGAGAACAACCCTTTACAGTTTACATAGTTTTCATAAAACTGTGTGGTTCCTGCGAAAGTCCTTCAAAGAGGGCAAAGCAAAATGATCCCCATTTCTGGATGAGGCAAAAATGATCCTTATTTCCGGATGAGAAACTGAGAATTTAACTGACTTAAGGTCATAAAAGTCACAAGGTTAAACAAGGCCATTTAAGTTTCTAAATGAGAGACATTAGTTGTAAACTAATAAGATTAATTAAAGCTATATGTATTTAAATTAGCATTCAATTTATTTGGGGGGTTAGTAATTAGATTGATTTATTTATTATTTTTTTTTATTTAATGGAGGTACTGGGGATCGAACCCAGGACCTCATGCATGCTAAGCATGTACTCTACTGCTGAGCTCTACCCTCCTCACAGCATTCAATGTACTGATGTTGTGAGTTTTTAAAGCTGCTTTGTCTTAAACCTTAAATTCAGTTTTAAAGTATTATGCTCCATTCATCCAGTGATTGATATAAAAAAGAACCACTTCACAGGATATTTGATGAATGCTCAACTAATTCATAATATAACTGTCAGGGAGTTCTCCAGAGAACCAGTAGTAATTTGCCCACTCAGAGAAGTCTGACCACATACTGCCTCCCCAGATCTCCTTGTGACCAATTTTTTAATCATATTCTTTCCAAGTCCCTGACCATCCAGCTAAGTTATTGGCCACGGCCGATGAATCAGTATAGATTGGACCTCCGGCCATTTCTCCTCCCAAGAAAAGTCAGAGGGCTAGAGAGTCGATATGCCCCTAATGAAGGATGCCAATGGTATACTGCTGGTCTTGACAGTGGAAAGCAAGCTGCTTCTGGTGGTCCTTATGGGTAGGAATGGAGAAAAAGGCATTTGCCAGATCAATAGCTACAAACTGGGTACCAGGGGATGTGCTGATTTGCTCAAGCAATGAAACCACATCTGGGACAACAGGAGTTATAACCTGATTATGTTTACAACAATCTACCATCATTCTCCAAGATCCATCTGTATTCTGCACGGGTCAGATAGAAGAACTGGACAAGGATGTGATAAATATCACTACCCTACATCTTTAAGTCCTTGGTGGTGCCACTAATCTTTGTAATCCCTCCAGAAATGCAGTATTGCTTTTGGTTGGCTATTTTCTAGTGGCTTTCACTTGGTCTTTCCCAGAACAAGAGCCCTCACTCCATAGGTCAGGGGGCCAATGTGGGTGTTAAGCCAATGACTAAGCATACCTATTCCAATTATGCATTTCAAAACTGGGTAAATAACCACCGGACGGATTTGAGTACTGTCTCAGTCAGTTTGCGCTGCTCTAACAGAATAGACTGGGGGCTTATAAACAACAGACATTTATAAACAACAGACGTTTATTTCTCACAATTCTGGGGGCTGGGAAGCCCAAGATCAAGTTGCCAGCAGATTCAATGTCTATTGAGAACCCACTTCCTGCTCCATGAATGGCCTTCCTTCCACTGTGTAGCTTAGCCAAGCTGACAC